AAAAATATAGAAAAAAGGTTTTTTCTTAACAGCGGTCGTCCCTCGGCAGGCAATGGCAAACCTCCGAGTGTATTTCTGCCATGAAAAACAGCTTCTCATAAAAATACAATCGCCGTTCGGAGTCGGCGTAAAACTGTAGGTCCCCCCGCTTTGTGTGACAACATCAAGGCGCACGCCACAAATCGGAGGAGAAGCTCGGCCAAACACTAACATATGTGTAAGCGCCAATCTATTATTATTATTATTAAAGTCAAGTTTTCAAACTTTCTACAAAAACTAGCAAAATTTGACAAAGTTCCGTCAAAATAGTAGTTGGGACAAAACGTTGGTTTTTGGCAGTTTTTTTTTGTTGTCGAAGGTGTTTCCCATTTTCTCCATACAAAAAAAAAACAAACATACTTTGTATGAAAGAAAAATTGCTTGAACAAAGAAATTGCAACGATCAACGGTAAGTCCTCTCTACTTCAAGCTTGCACTTTATAAACTAAGCTAAAATTGAATGGGCTACAAAACTGCATATATTTTAATGAAAATCTGTTAAATTTGTCGAATTTTTATAAATGTTCAACAAAGTTTGAAATTTTTTAAATAAAGAAAAATAGCCAAAACCTGCTAACATTTTTCTTCCCTATTAACATTCTCTCCACCGTATACACATATGTGTACATATTTACATACCAAATACATATATACGTGTGTGTATTTTGAAATAAGCACATCTGACAAACAATGAAATGACGACAATGAAATGCGAAATGAAAGCGAGAGTAAGAAAAAAAGTAGGTATATCCGAACGTGTGAATGTACATATATGTAGGTATAGTACATATAGAATATTATTATAAAGATCTTTGGCACTTACTCTTGAGAAATGGGTGTCTTTCCTGAACGGTTTGTATAGTTTACAATTGCGTTGAATGTTTGATTGACCCATTGCCAGAAGACGACGGCCGGTATGGATTTATAAAACGACAGCATGCCTATGAGAAAAAAAAAATGGTTGAAGCAAAATAACCATTCAGCGGGTTTTATTAACTGGTTCCATAACAAAGATAACTTAAAACTGCATACAATTTATTTAATTACATACATACATACAAACATATGTATACTTTAAATTTGAAGAAAATTTTCCCTGACAAAATTTTCTTGAAGTTAATTTACTCTCAAATATGTATGGAGTGTCATACCAAAAAAATTGCGGTTTTTCCACCGGAATCATAAAATGTTTTATATTTTAAGACTTCCGCCAGAATATTTCGGAAAAATGTCAAGATCTAAAAATACCTTTAAAATTTTCCAACATTTTTATGTAGACGTTTTAAGCTTAAACTCTTCTAGTATAAGAGGTGATTTTTCGAAAATATATATTTTTGGAGGTATTTACAAATGGATCCAACTCAGGTATATCCATATATTTTTCCGAAATATTTTAGCGGAGGTCATAAAATATAATAAATTTTATGATTCCGATGGGGAAAACGGTGCATCCTAATGTACATATCGTCGTTTAAAGTACAAAACCGCGTATCAAGAAAATGCAAAACCGCGTATGTGAGGTTGCATAAATTATTTTCTGTAGAGCAAAAACACTCATATTTCAAAATGGTTCTCTTTTTTATAAAGCAATCGCATTTCTGGATAGTATATTTCAGGGCGAATGGATAAGGATTGAGCCAATAGCTTGTGTGAGCAAATCAAATTTTTGGCAGCCAATGTCAGTTACGCGGTTTTGTACTTTAAACGACGATATGTACATACATATATGTAAATGTTATAGAAGAGTGCCTTGTGAAACCATTTAATTGAAAATTGTATTATGTATTCCTGAAGTCAGTAATAAGACCAATTACAACTCTGAAGGACTATAGCGCTCCTGATAGTGTCATTTACTCTTGAAATTCTTGGTAGTGTCATCGAAAACAGTTTTGAAACTAGTTCCCGGATCAAATGAGTTCAAGTTTTTGCTGGTAAAGTTGTAACCAACTGGAAGAATGAATTGTTACTAATTAATATATATGTACGAGCAATGCATGTGTATGCAATGGATCTTCATAAATATAGAAATTGATTTAATTGTTGTAAATTAACCCAGCGCTTGGCGCGCAATTCCTCGCAAATGCCAAATGCAATACCACGATATAATTTTTTTAGATTTAAGTAAACAAGCGATGCGAAGTATGTAAATAGACTAGCAAAATTTGAGTTAAATTAAAATTATCAAATACAATATATACTACATACATATCGACGGCTGAGTGGAAGATCGACCTATCTCGGCTGCCAGCGTTAGTATATCTATCTTTTAGCAATAAAAAATATATTTTTAAAGCAATAAAACTAAAAATTTGCGAAAATTAGAGAAAAAAGAAAAAAAATGAACTGAAAAAGTCTCTAACCTTTAAATTAAATCAAAAGATATTTATGCTTTAAAAAATAAAACTTTAAAAGTAAAAGAAAAAAATTTAATTTAAAAATAAAAAAAATCCGTTGCCGCGGATTGCACTTGGATATCTCGAGTGGCACTGCTAGTGTTGCCACGGACACATTTTTTTTCCTACGAAAACTTCCTACCCAAGTCAACCAAAATTTTATTTAAGTTTTAAATACTTTGTTTTAATGCCAAGTTTATTAAAAATGTAGACAACATAACATTTAGAAAAACCAAAACACAGCTAGTACAATAGAATCAAATTAACTACGTATAACAATTCATTTTAAGTCTGTTTGTCTCTTTACACATACATATTAGGTGCAATCCCGTATTCCTCGGACTCGGACTAGTAAAACTGTCAAAAAATAAAAATTCGCTCAGAGCGAGAGAGTATTATTATTATTAGTTGCGATCCCGTACGAGTCCGGACTAGCCAAAAATAGTCAGAATCAGTCAGATTTTACAGGAAATCGATCCCGTACTCGGTTCTCTGACTATTGAGAGGACAAAAAAGAGAGTAAATACGGTTCTCTCTCTGTCAGAAGTTACCAGTTTTTGTCCGAGAATTTTATGTTGGTAAATTCTGATAAATGTGTCAAACGATCAGCTGTAGTGTGTTTGGCAACCAAATTGTAAACAAAAGAAAAGTTCATGTTGAAAAGTATTTAATTACTTGTTTAAGTGGATTCTAATGAATTTGAAAGTATTTTCGGTTATTTACATGTGTGAGCTGAACCAAAATTCGCAGGTTATGTTAAAGCCATTTTTTACTAGAAAGCGATCCCGTCCTTTTCAATGTTACTCTCTCCCTCTGAGCGAATTTTTATTTTTTGACAGTTTTGCTAGTTTTAGTCCGAGGAATACGGTATTGCACCTATTATTACGTCGGGGATACACGCGCTGCGACCTAATAAGGTCTCTTTGAGAAGTTAGGCACTTTGGAGGGCGCCATGTTTAAAATTTTGGATGAAGAAGACAATCGTCGTTCAGTCGGCTTTTTATGATAAGTGGGCAGTCACATAGAATATGCTCTGCAGTTTTCTCCACCAGCTCACAAAAGGCTAGGGATCATGCAAGTGCATTTGGGCTCCACGCTTTGCGGGACAGTCAGCCTTCGTGGGCTTTAAACCCTTCATGTCCCGGAACCCACCACAGCGTTATGTTATTGTGAGCTTCCGAGTGGTTCAAAAAAGTTTTTTCAGCTTTCCACAAGCCTGCTGCCGTTTTAATAGAGTCTAAGGCCTTTAACCTGCCTGACTATCCGACGTAATAAATATTTAATTTTGCCCCATTTGTCCCTCTACAGAGACTTCGATTGCGAAGACTTTCGCCTGGAATATAGTTGGGTATGTGTAAATTGGGACCTTTCGTCAATCATAGTTATTATCACTTCACAGCTGTCCCTTTCAGGAATTCTAACTTTATAGGATTTGTAGCTGGATAGCTCAGGATTATCCAGAAATAGCTTTAGAACCTCCAAATGACCCCGAAGATCCTAAATTTTCTTGCTGATCATATTGGGCAGTCGTAGGGTGCTCCAGCAGGCCTCTTTTTCAAACAGACAATGGAGGAATGCCTGTAATGACACCAAGGGCATCCGTTGGATAGGTCCTGTAATGGCCACGTGGACCAGTCGGTGCGGCTTGCTAAAGGTGGAACCTGCCTTTACTTGTGTAGCTTTTGGCCACAAGGTCAGTGCCGCATATGTGACAACGGGTCTTACTACCACATTAAAATACCAGTAGGTTAGTTTTGGTAATATTCCTCAAGTCTTACAATGAAGGCTCTCTAAGGTGGACAATGTTGGACTCCACCGGTGAAATATTCGTGTAAACAAGGTTGTTAAAACGCTTGCAGATACATATTTCATATTTTATATTTTATATTTTTCGCAAATAACTATTATTGTCGCGGAACCTACCAAAATCCAATTTAGCCTAGTAGGAAAGGATGCCAACACTGCTCACTGGGCTATTGCGACTGTTACAGCAACGTAAGCGCAATTGAAATGTATTGAAAACAAACAAAAAATTTCATAATCATTCTTTAAAAAGTTAAGTAATGGTTTTTCTTTACTTAACTTTAATGTTCATTAAATGCTGACTCTGAGAGGGAATATATTAAGATCATTACTAAGGAACCTTAAGTAATCATTTAACGACTCTGAGTGCGGCTGTAAAAGTTCTTTATTTTCAAACAACTACATCAATTACTTAAGTTGATATGGCTCTTAACCCTCGTATGGTTTAAGAGATCCCTAGGT